CCATCTAGATAATTAGACTTTACTCAAGCGCTCTTAAAAGGAAGTAAGAACAACTTTCTTAAAATCCAGCGTTAAAATTAAACAGCACAACTTGTAGGAAATAACTCTTCTCTCTTCATAACTCAGGTTGGAGCAAAATCTTTGGCTGACAGGAGGAGTCTCTCCTTCTGCTCCCTCAGCCTGGAAAAGGCCTTGGGTATCGTAAAGACTGGCAAATTGTCATGCATCAGCTTAAATACATTTGCCTCAAGACCTTTTCCTCTCCTGCTGCAGAGACAGAATACAGCTGTCTCTCCGGGACCAAGGAAGTTGATTTAATTGCCGGAAGCAGCTTTCCCTGTGGAATTAGGAAAGATGGAGGCAGGTGGCTAACCTGAACCTCTAGTGACACAGTTCCTGGTATCTCCACATCTACAATAGACACAGTCCTCCTTAAAATTTGGCTAAGAGTGATTGAAGAAACTGATTTCAGGACCTCCTAAAATACAGCTAGTGACAGCTTATAAATATATTCCCTCAAGCGGTTTTACGTCCTGCCTTTCCCAGGGAATTCTACTGTATCCTGAACCTGGACTTGCGCCAGCATTTGGACGCCCTTCATCCTCTTCTCCCTGACTCTGCTGCCAAGGCTGAAAAGTGCCTTGTAAACATCAAGGCTGTCTTGTCCTACCGCTGAATTCTGTCTCCCACGGAGGAGAGGAACAGGGCACTCCTACCTCAGCCATGTAGGCAACGGTGTATTTCTCAGTGTGATTTTTCTGGAATTCCTGCACAACCTTCAGGAAATGCTTCTCCCACAACATCACGAAGTCAAAATATGGGTCACTGGAGAGAAAGTTGTTCAAGGAGAAGGTGAGGATGAGAGCTTGTGCTTCTGAGTACTCCAGCCCTGTCAAGCATAGAGAAAGGTCACCACAATGCCGGAGAGGCCAGACGGCCCTTTCAAAGGGTGCAGCTGTCCTGTGCTCAGTTCCCAGGCCGTTGGGGACAGAGGCCATCAGCCTGAGGAGGAAGCCCAAAGACTCGTTAGAGGCCCGTCGGGTCCAAGTCCTGGCTCATCCGGTTGGAAATTGGCTTCTGCCGGGGAGACAGCTAGTGGGAAATACATCGGTTAGCTAATTCTGGACTACCTTCCGCAAACTCTGTCTTAACCCTAACTCTAAAAGCTGCTTTTCAGCCCTTCAGGATTCTAATTGGAGGATGGTTCACCCAAAAAGGCTTCACAGCCTTTAATTGTTAAGCTCAGAGCTAGCAATAAAAATGACATTTGGACCACAAATGCCACACAAAGACACAGAAAACAATACTCAATGTGTGATCTATGTGAAAACTTTAAAGCCCACCATCTCAGTTTCTCCTCATTTCCTTCCCTGCCCAGGTGCACAAAGCAATCTTTCTTTTTCTGCCTCACCAGCTGCTGCATAACCAACTGTTTTTGCTTCCCATCATGTCCAGTTTTTCTATTTTTTGTCAAATTTGCTTTGCTCTAAATCTTAAACACTGAAGATTCTTCCCTGAATAGCTGATAAATCTTTTCTCCCTCTCTGCTGCTAACTATATTCCCAGCTTCGGGCACTTATTCCGCCCGAACTTTCCTGTTAGAACCCTAGATTCATTGCAACATCGTTGTGTTAAAATTCTCCAACTGAGCTTGCTTGCTTCTTTCTTTCTACACATATACCTTCTAGGAAATCATATTTTTAATTGGTTCTATTTTCCCATTGCTACTGTTTCACATTTCCATATGAGGATGGCCAGTGGGTTCTTTCTCACAGCTGTGTTAATGTGCATTCCAAAACATAAGCTGATCCCAGTTGCCCTGCCCTGCAACCGAGCTTCGTTGCACCTTGGCAGTATGACCATGTGGTACTGCCTGGGACCGTTCCAGCCCCACCATGATAGTGGCGGGTTTGAGGGGCTTTGGGCATTTACTTCTAGCTTCATCCCACCTCACTGGCCAGTCACCCAGATTTTAGTGGGGGGGGGAATACAAAACACAAGAAGCACAGCTAGAGTTCTTCTAGGAAAAAGTGAGCTATGTCTGCACGATCCTGCTTCTTTCTACACCTGGGTTCTCCAAAGTGGTCAATAGTGACCCTGAAGGGTTGATGGGACCATCCAAGGGATTTATTTATTTATTTATTCATTCATTCATTCATTCATTCATTCATTCATTTATTTATCAAACTTATCCCCGCCCATCTCC